TCACGATGAAGATGGAATTGCCAATGTACTTGCTATGCGCGAGATGATTGCTGCGGGATACCGCATTACTATGGATACTGATGCTGACAATGCTTTTATTGTGCATTGTGATGGAAACAGAAAGATGTGATTTGTGAATCGTAAGGGTGTGTATGTGTTGGAGCAACTTGGAGCAAATGTCGAACCAGGTGCCAAAGAGACAAGTGCGATGTACCGTCGCCAGTTAAGCAACTTAAATAATCAACCCCATTTTGAACTTTCTTCAAACAAACAGAATGGATATGCTGGACTCGAGATGACCTCCAAGATGGCAACCGTTCGAAAGAACAAGGAAGGATTCACTCCAAGACAAGTCAAGGCTGGGATGGAAGCAAGAAGTGCGATGCACATACTCAATGCTCCAAGCACCAAAAGTCTGAAGTATGCGATCCGATCTGGTCTCATCAAGAACTGTCCTATCACCAAAGAAGCGATCAATCATGCCGGAGCAATCTTTGGACCTGACGCCTCTACATTGAAAGGCAAGTCAACAAGACCAACTCCGAAGAAGGCGTACGACGACTTCTTCAGTCCACCAGAGGAATTATATCAACACAATCGATCTATTACCGTCTGTATTGATCACATGGAGATCGAGAATGCTAAGTTTCTCACCTGCATTAATACCACTGTGCAATATTGCTCATGTATTCCCGTGCAGAACCTGAAGACTGACCCTGTATTTGAAGCATTGGATAAGATATTCTGCCGCTACAACAAGGCAGGCTTTCAAGTCAAGATCATCAAGTGTGATCCGGCGTTCATTCCTCTAACGGATGATATGCTAGATGACATGGGTGATACTATTGACGCAACTGCAGCTGAAGACCACAAGCCTACAGCCGAGCAAAACAATAGGACGCTGAAAGAAAGAGTCAGAGTAGCTCTTGCACGATTACCCTACAAAGTGGTCCCAAAAGTGATCACTGAATGTCTTGGACGTCGAGCCGCCGAGCTATTGAATGTCTTTCCCCAGAAAGACAGTATCACATCACATTTCAGTCTGCAGCAGCTCATTGATAATGTCAATATCAACTACAAGAGTGACATGGTTGCTGAACTTGGACAATATGTTCATGCAATTGGGACGGATTCCAAAAATTTGATGGAACCCCAAAGTATCAAAGCGATTTACATTGAACCTACAAAGGGACAACGTACTGGGCACCGAGTGCTCAACCTCAATACTAAGAAGATGATTTCCCGACCCAAGGTCGTTGTACTACCCGTTACCAACCAAGTAATCCAGCGTGTTGAAGCTTGGGCTGCTGCCAAAGGTGTTACTTCCATGAAGTTTTTTGATAAGAAGAGAGATTTGGAGACATTTCAAGATGGCAATCAAATTGCAGGAGTGGATGACACGGAACAAGGTTACTTAGAAGAAGCCTTTGATCAGGACTATGAACCTGAAGATGAAGATGAACGTGATTTCAACCTACATGGACAATTTGATGATATCGATGACTCCAAAAGAGAAGAGCTCCAAGGGGGTTTTGGCCGATAGGCTCTTGTTTGATTGATCTGATTGGTCCAAATGCGTCTTTCTTTTGCACGCACATGCCATGCCGCATGCTCTAATATATTAGCCATCGTTTACGCAACATACGTCTTTACCAATGTCCCATAGCTCCCAATTGATGGCATCTCTACATTTCACCTTCATGCCCTCGAAAATTGCGTATTAGCAGCCCACCCTGTTCCACCAAGGTATGCCACAAGTGAAGGCGGATTTCACCTCCACAACAATGGAATTGCTTTTTTTGAGCACATCCTCAAGACCTATGCAAATGGCGAGCAGTGCAGTCTTTTCCTGGTTCGTGCTATGGCAAATAGATATCTGGAAAAGGCGAGAACTTATTTGAGCCAGAAGCCAAGCCAACCTTTTCCAGACTTCTACAGTTACATGAATAACAAAGTGGCCGCCTAATGGCGACAATATTCGGCGGCTCTACCAACAGGCAGAATATTCTTCACTGCAACCCTACAGCTATTTTAATGCCTTACGCTACACTCAAGAGATTTGGTCTGTTAGATTTGAACGCGGTGATACAGCAGCTTTTGATCACACCTTTGCCACGACAAGGGCATATAGAGACAAGAAATCCATGGGCATGAAATGCTTCGCTGATTTCAACAATGGAAGAACTGGTGAAATTGGTGGCATCTATGCTGTTCCAACAACAAAGTTGAGCAATGTATCCCATGGGTTGACACAAGCAGCGCCTCGATTGAAGAATGTATCGGTACTGACAACCGACACCATACCGCATGGAGTCCAATTTTGGGATGCAACTCTTGGGAAGGGAGTCAAGTGCCGCCTTGGGCTGTTTCATTTTTTGGGCTGTATGGTTGACACCCTTGATTCAAAAAGTTAACATTTCTGGCCGTGTCTTGTGCAGTTGAAAGATTGTATTTACAAATACAACAAAGATGATTGGGCAGCACTTGTTGGGGCCGTGACCAATGGTTTGCTTGGAGAAAAGTTGTCAGTGGACGAGCTCACCGACATGCGCTTTTCCAAGGTCTTCAAATAGTGTTATGACAAGTGGTTAAGAAAGGAGTTCCATTTGGCAGAAAAGATCATTGAAAATCTAAATGACTGGCTGAAAGCATGGATAGATGTCAGTGACAATAGCGATCAAAAGGTCTGCACATACAAGACAGAGGACACAACAAGAGAACAGTTTTCAAAGGTTCCATATGTATTGGATCATGAAGGTGCAGCCACCTACCGTGGAGTGAAATCAAGTGCTGAGCACGGGCTGACTGAATGGAGAAGCTCAAGAGCTGAGTCAAGCTTGGAGAAGTTTCATGAACTATTGGCCCATTTTGCAAATATTGGTTGCAAATCGGAGTTTGCGAATGCTCTCATTGCCCGAGGTACGGCTGAGCACAACGTTGGTGCGAGGTGGAGATATGACTGCATGGTGCAATGCCAACAAGGTTCTAGATTACCGCATCCAGAATACGTGGACCAAACGCCCATTTTCATGGACCATTCCCTACTAGACCATTTGAACCAACAATCTACCTCGCTTGGTTTTGATGCCTTGTTCAAAGAGTGTCAAGTTCCAGAGGTTGGAAACGAGAAGGAAGTTTTCTTTTCCAATTACTGCACCGACCAAATGGAAAGAAACAAACAAGAGGGAACTGTTGCTTCAACTAAGGTTTGTCTTTGTGACGACTGCAAGGACAAGTACAAATCGCCTCAAACAACAAGTGTTGCCAGGAGGAGGAGTGGTATTGCCAGAGCGGTTGATCGATCAACTGCAGCAGCATAGCCTTTACCTCAGCAGCATATGCAGCAACAAGCAGCAGATCACAGCACCTATTGCAATGGCTTCCAAACAATCCAACTTTCAATCCTGTGCATGCTTCACTCCGAATCAATTTGCCTTGACTCCGAATCCATGTGCCTTTTTCACAAATCAATCCGCACCACATAGCCGGACTGTTTGCAAGTCCAGATGCTTTCCGAATTACCCTTTCAATTGCCCAAGATTTGCAGGATACCCTGAGCGGTCCAAGTCCGGTTCAGTGGTCGGGAGACCACCTCACGATCTGTGGTGCGCAAAGGTGCAGGGTTACTACTACAAGTATGGGGAGAATTAAGATGCTAGATGCAGTATCAAAATGATTGATTTATTATAGTAGTAGCACTAGTAATATTTGCTTCATCTGCGTTTCCCCTGTGTTCAATTATTGTACCATGGATTGAGAACGATTCTATGTTGGAGGAGTGATGTCATACCGGTACAACAATTAGTTTTTCGGAGAACTCGAGAAAAGTTTAAAAAGTGTATAGCTTGCAAGATTTCTGATTGGCTGAGCTACTTCAATCATTCAATTCAGTCAACCACGTTTCGTTCCATGTAGTCAAAATTATATTGAACTGGAAGTTCAAGAACAACAGATGATGGGTCAACCAAGCTATGTTGCGAGTCTTGCAGAATGTCTTTTGCGTATATAAAAAGACATGTCTTATCAACAGAACCTCCCTGTCAACCTCCTGCAAAATTCATAATTTCTCTATGTTTTCTTGATCGCCCCCCTACTAAGCATCCATTTGTTTTCTACAGTCACGAAGGATTGAATATGATATGAGAACACAAGGTGGAAAAAGGAATCTCCCCTCTTCTTTTTTTCCCTCTTCTTTTTTTCCCTCTCCTTTTTCCTTTTTTTCTTTACCCCCAAGATAGCCACCTGAACCCCCCAAACTTTTGCTGCAGGCACATACAGACAATGATGTCGATGATATGCCAGAACTCACTGTCAGATTCCAAGGAGATGATGACTATGAATCAGACAACAATTCGGGTGATGAAGGCGATGAAGAGGAAGAACCTATTGTGGCCGATTTGGATCACATCAAGAAAATGTCGATAGAGGAACCCATGATATTCGGAGCCTTGTTACTGATCTGGAGGACCTACAAGAGCCGCCAGAAGAAGAGATTGTATTTGAGCCTGAAGAGCCTCAAGTAGCAAAAGTCACTCGATCTGGGCAAACGTATGCGCAAGCTGCAATGTCTGGGCTGAACCTTTCTCAAGTTTCAAAGAAACCAAGAGAATGACCTTTGAGCAGGAGTGGCAGTTCTGCCAATAAGAACAAGAATCGAGTTGCGACAAGACGCAAGCATCGAGAGAGAGAATTGAAACTGTTGAAGAACAAGTTAAAATCTGGTATTTGTACCAAAGAAGCAAGTTGCAGTACTAGAGACAGTAAAGCTACCCTTGAAGCACAGCACAATCTATGTTTCCAACAGATTGGGAATGAGATGAGAAGAGCACAACGCTATTCTGATCGCTCGTTGCATGATGCAGGCAAGGCCAAGTTTGATACTGAAGAAGATCTGAACTTTGTCCAACAGTATTACATCAATCAAGGACTGAAGAAGTTTGGTGATGATGGAAAGGATGCTGTGGATAAGGAACTGAGACAAATGCTCCTGAGAGATTGTTTCACTCCCGAGTTTGTTAAAGACATGACCGCGTCTGAGCGAAAGAAGGCCCAATCAGCGATGATGTTACTCGCAGAGAAGCAATTTGAAAAGACAATTAAAGGTTGCCTAGTATTCCAAGGCAATGGAACTCGTGAATGGTTATTGCAAGAGGACACTGCAAGTCCAACTGCTTTGCAGGAAGCAATCACCACTACTTGTGTTATTGTATTAGAGAACGGAAAGCGAGTAAACTATGTGCGGGTACTACATGCTATATATGAGATGTTGCAATCGAGCCTCCTATTCTATAATCAGTTTTGAAGTGATTTGGAGGCAAAGGGATTTGTTTTCAATCCGTAGGACCCGTGCGTTGCTAACAAAGTTGACAATGAAAAACAGCAAACGATCCGGTTTCATGTTGACAAATTTGCTGAGTGGTTGAACAGGAGATATGGTTCAATCAAGGCGTGCACTATTGTCAGAGGAAAGATACACAGATATCTTGGAATGACTTTGGATTTCTTGGTGAAAGGAAAACTCAAGATCTGCATGGACGACTATGTTAAGAACATGTTGGAAGATTTTCCTATTAAGTTCAACAAGGATTCAAAGCAGGGAACACCAGCTGGTAACGATTTACTGGAAGCTGGTAAAGGGAAGTTACTCAGTGCTGAGTACCGTCAGATCTTTCATACTACTGTTGCAAGGGGACTTTATGTCTCTAAGAGAGCTTGTTTGAATATCCATCCAACGATTACTATTCTTGCCTTGAGAGTTCGAGAACCTACAGAGTCTGATTGGAAGAAGTGTGTTTGCATGATGCGATATTTATTTTGTACATCGTTGTATCACCTGACACTTTCCGCAGAATCACTACGAGTCATAAAATGGATGAATGACGCATCATTTGCAGTGCATCCAGATTTCAGCACTCTGTCCTTTGGAGGAGGTGCAGCTCAAGTGATGTCAAAGAAGCAAAAACTAAACAGCAGAAGCAGTACGGAAGCGGAACTGATTGCTGTTGACGATATTGTCACCATGATACTATGGACAAAGTTGTTCATGGAGTGGCAAGGAATCCAATCGAGAAGAATATCTTGTATCAGGATAACAAAAGCGCGATTCTATAATAATAACTGAGACATTAATCGTTAATATGCTACTCTATGGGCATCCAATTGCCGGTGAAATATTCGGCTGTAAAGGTCAAGTACTGTGAAGCGGTGAGTCAACAACAAGTTTGAACCATTTGAGGCATCTGTATTTTGAACAGAAGTTGCTCAAGTCTCCCAAAGGGGTAAAGACTTCTCCCGCAACGTGGCGGGGTGAATTCGGGGCATGTGAGGTCCCGCGAAAAGTTGGTCAGGGTCCAGGGGAGAAAATAGTCCG